GAATTGTCATGAGCATAATGTATATGCTTTGTTTTCTCAAAAAATTTTTTAAATTTTGGAAAGTTTGACCAATTTTTACTCCGGTACTTTCTTTACCAATGAACGTTTCATTACACTCGTGATTTTGCCTTTATCTGTAGCTACTTCTGTCAGCATGGGCGCTGTTTAATATGATCCGCTGTTGAAAGCGAGTTTACACCATTTTGTTTTTGAGATGAAGATTTCTCTTCAGAATTATTTGAGAAAACACTGGTATGTAGTATGTGGCAATGATTTACTGCAACGCTTAAAATTGGAAGATTTATGGTGAAGTGATTCAAGTTTTTGGGAAAGTTGGTGATTTGTATTTTACACTCTAAATAACTTTTCTTCATAAAGAGGTAAAGTGAAAGGAGCAGAAAAAGACTAATACGTGGCCTATTCCAAGGCAGGAGACTTTGGATGATTTTGACTCCCAAATAATTAAAAGTTTGTTAAAGAGGTTCTCTTTTCGGCTTTTTTGCAACCATCAGCGGTTGAGGGTATACATACCGTAAAGGTATGACAAAGCCAGTTTAGTGGATTTTGCTATAATAGTCAAAGAAATAAGCAACATTTTCCTTTTATTTGTCGGAAATTAAAGCAGGTATCGCACTTTAGACTGCTGCAGCTGAATTAGACAGTTATTACAGAAATCTGCTATTGAAAACTAGAGTTGCTTATGAAAAAGTGATAGCAGCGTGATCAGTTAATCTGGTGTTATTGAATAGAAATTTTGATATATTGGCAAAACGACGCATAATAGAGGAGACGGGAAAGGATAGAATCGCTAAATTCCACTGTATTTACCACACTGTCTTGTTAATGGTTTACTGAAGTATAATTTATCCCAGTCTAATTGAAACTGCGTTACTGCAGTAAAATATGCACTTTACTGAAAGATGACAAGGATTAGAGATACGTCGGATTAACGCTTTGACGTTCTTACTGAGGCGACAGATAAAGGTTGAGTTATGTTAAGACGATTACTGATATATAACAAACGTACGATTAAATGAGATTAATTCAGTCTTGTAGGGTACCAGTGCTTTATAAAGAGAAGAAAAAATTGCTGAAAATTCCTAACATTTCTAAGTATTATTGGAAAATTTGTAAGTAGCATAGTTCTTCGAGCTACTGAATGTTAGGTATGACAGCTTCACTAAATGTTGCTTCTTCTGCTGACTTTTATGAATTTTTTATGTTAATTTTTTAATGAGTTATCATTTCTAGTTAGTTTAGAATTTTTGATTGAACGTTTCAAAGATTATGGATGTATATAACTTATTATGCACACTTGCAGTATAAAAGTTTATAAAATTGTCAGTAGTTGGCTTGGGAGAATATCACAGCTGCAATAAACAGTTAATTTTCTTTATTTTTCTTACAAAGCAATGTAAAATTTAAAGAGTAATGTTGGGGAATAATTTTTAAAAATGAAAATCAACATAAAAGTTTTTCACTTTTAACTGGCAATTAGTGAACTGTTAGTTAATAAGTGAAGTATTTTGTGCTGAGAAATCTGAATTAAAGTCTTATAGGTTTTTCAGAGATCAGTTTAAAAGTTATTCCATAACTAATATTTGAAGTTTGGTGTTTAGTGGAAGTAATTATATTTGGTTGGTCATTTTTAGAAGTAAAGAAGTGTAATTCTACTGGTCACATAAATAGATCGAGGATTTTGGGACCACTTTCCGTGGGTAAAGAGGATGTTGCTAAGGAAGTTAAATGAATGTTGCAGAGCCTTTGTTATCCTCCACCGACACATGTTGATTTAATAGCACACATTCAATAGATTTAATTTTATTTACATGTTTGCTTTTTAAAATAAGGATATCAGAATACTTCAACATTACCAAAACTTAGGAACGGTGAGATTTATGTGTTAATCGAAAGGTTCACTCTTTTACTACAGTCTGAGACAATCATTCAAAAAAATTCCTCTGTAACGATATTAGAGTTTCCGGCTTCCTCTCCTCCTCTTTCGTTCGTTTCAAGGTCCGAGGGAGGTCCAAGACTCCGTGCAACCCTTCAGAAATAACTTGAATCTAAAAGGCATTTTAATGGAAAAAAAGGCATCATACTAAATGGAAATTCATAGAACTTATAAAGTATTTTGTAGAACTTTTATAAAAACAAACTAGCTTAGCGAGTAAGTAAGGAGTTTAGTTGGAAAACTATTTGAGATTTTGACAAAAGTGTAACAAATTTATAACAGAAAAATTAATTTGAAGGCATCATTTATTGCAGCTCTTAGTTTTATGGTCCAATTGCTTGTTACAGGGTAGAACAATCAGAATAAAGTAATGCAAAGAAAGAGGTAATGTGAAATTACACTAAACGAAAGCAAAATATATAAAACAAAGACAACTTACAATTTGGATAGTCGAAGTAATAAGATGCAGAAACGGTCACTACATTTTCAAAATTGCGAATAAGATTATGAGAGTTTTTCTTAAATGATTATTCAGAAGTGTGATAAAAGAGTAAACCCTTTGATTGACACGTTTTCAAAAGTTATGCGATTAAGAAAATGTAGCAGGAATTAGAAGACTGTCTGTAATCATATTAATTCTTTAGATTGATAGACATTGCACTGAAATTACTATTAGCATTCAAAAACCGGCTATAAAACCATAATGGCAAAAAGAATTTTTTAGAAACGAAAATTTTTTCATTAATTTATACTGGTTTTATAAACAAAAAATAATGCTTAAATTTAACCTTGTTAAGAAAAAAAATTTTTCATTTCTAAAAAAGAAGACACGTTTAAAATATAGTAAAAGTAAAAAACTTACATAATACTCAATATAAGTTGAAATTTTACTGCTAAATTAAGAAGTAGGTCCTGCCGTACCAGGTGCTGCGCAAAAAAAAAAAAAAAAAAAAAAAAAAA